CCTCACAGTGTTACTGGAGGCCAAGGTAATGCCATCCAGAGTAAGAATCTGGTTAGATACCATATTTCTAAGCTTTTCAGCGCCGAGTACAATAACCTCAGTTTTATTACAGCCATGTCTTAAAAACATAAAGTCCTGACCACTTCTAAAGTCAAATTTGAGATTATTGTACTGGGCCCTACAAATCTTAATGAGATATTAACTGCCTTGGCCTCTAGTAGCACTACACTAATCTTAAAATCATGTTTTGAAAAGGATTTGTCCTTGAACGAGTGGAGTATGGTGACGTTAACAGAAAGGTAAGGTACTTTTATAGTTAAATCTAATATGTTACTAAAAAAATATTTACTACTAGCTGACAATGTCAAGTGGTGGAGGAATTTTAAAAACATTTGTGAAAAAAACCCCAATAAAACTGTATGAAAACACGTCAGTACAACCAAAACTCTATTACTGAAAGAGTGTATGCAAATTAAAAATAAGTAACAATAATTATTCTGCAGAAAAAACTCAATAATAATAATAATAAATGCAATAAATGGATAATATTAGTTCTGCATATTGTTAGCACTGACCATATTTTAAATACTTTATATTGTGTTGTGTACTTTATAATTGTCTAGTCTCATATTCTAAAACGTTTGTAGTGGCTCTCCTGCGAGGACCACCTGTGGGGGGAAAAAGTCCTCAAAAATACAGGTTTTGTCACTGGCTGGGTCTGTGACCCAACATTTTGAGTTTGTGGTTATATTTGTGTCTTTTGGCAGATTGACAGGAGGTTTTGTTTTTGTAGTATTATCAGGTTGCTTTGACTTGTAAGTCTGGTTTAGGTGATTCTATGAGTTATGAATCTGTTCCTGTTTACCACATGGTCTCGTCCACAGTGTCTTACTTTCAGTTATGCCTGAGGTAGTCTCCCTTGTTGTTTAGTGTGCCTATCCTGTCATGTCTCATGTCTGTCACGTGTTTTCTTGTTTTCAAGTTCAGGTCATGTCTGCGTTTTATGGTTCCTGTTTTACTTTGAAGAGGTCTTGTGTTCTGTTTTCATTATTTTAGTTTCACTTTCCCCTGTGGTGTCATCCCGAGTTAAAAAAGAATAATATTATAAAATATATTGTTAATAAAAAAATTATAAAATATTAAAAGTCAGTTACATCAAAAGGTTTGAGAAGTGTGTGAAATAGTTCATTTTTAATATGTACAAGGAGAATTAAAAATAGTAATCATAAAGGAACGTGGAGTTTTGGCAAAGCAGCTCAGGCCTTTTTTTTATTAGACCGGACATGGTTAGACCTT